ACTCTGAGTCGGCCACTCGCGGTCTACAGATTCGTGTTCTTCATAAGCTAAGCCTGACCCGTAGCTTCTAATCCAGCCTGGTCAAACAACAGCGGCGGCGCATCCCTTTCCCGCTATTTTAAAACTGGGTCCGGTCTCTCCCATGCCTTTGATATAACAGAACTTGCGGCGGCTGGCTGTGCCTACAGTCTGACCGCGCGGAGCAATAGCTGGCGTCTGTTACTCACCGCATCGGCCCCCTCCGGGTAACTAGGTGCTCCGCCATTCTGGTGTCCTCCTTCGTCCCGCTGTTGGAGGATGTCCTCCAAGCCTTCTTGGCCTCCGCCGCGCGATTGCTCGCGCTCTGCCATCACTTCGCTGTTACTGGCGACCGATATGCCAGCAACGTCAAATCGCCTTATCTATTTTACTATTGAGCTGGGTCCCGAATACAAAGTAAATCACTATTTAAACAATTCAAAATCCCCAACAGACGACGTTCTGACTTGCGCTTGCTTGCACGGTTGACTGGCGAACTAGCGTTGTCTGGATTCAGCGCTTTGTTCCCAGCTAATCTTTGTAACGCACTACCGTATCAGTCACTGTCCTCTGGCCAATTCCGGTCTGCTCCTCCCGCGCCGCACTTGCCGTACTACACTACAGGACGAGCACTTAATCAACATGCACTGCCTACGTGCGTTTTGCGGCCTTGTCCCTTGTGCCAGTGAATGCTGTTTTCCGTTGACAGCTCATACGAAAAACCAACCCCTGGCAGCCCTGAGCGCCTGAGGCCTTTGGCACAGCCCACAGGAATTCTTCAGGATCAGAGCAGTATATTTCTGAAATACTTTGTGCCGAATCAAAGGGATGAAGTACCTATGAAGTTTATTTGTTGTGACCTAACCTAAAAGTGACCTAACCTTATGGTGTGCAGGATGCGCGCGACAGGAATGGACTGTGTAGACCTTTCCGAAGGATCAAGTGCCCTTTAGTCAAGTAAGGAGCTTTCCAGCCAATTTTGTAACATGCAGGTGATCGATTTTTATATGCGTACACCGACGTACACCTGTACGTGACGGCTCACGAAAAGCGGCCCCGAGTGGCAAACCCTAGCGAATCGAGGAAATTTGAATTACACGTCATCGGACTAGTTGGCCCCCACCTTACATGCTTCCACAGGAGCAACATGACTCACAAATTGACAGGCGCCATTTTCTGCGTTCTATTCTGCCCACTGCGTGCAACAAATAAAATGTCATCATCAAACCTTGTGTCTGTATCTGCCTGCGACGAACAGATTTCTGGGCCAAATTCCTAGGGTTTACCACTGCTGTGACTCCTCCCCATAACGAGCTGTTCAACCTACACTATACAGCTCATTATCGTACATGTACGACACCATACGACAACATTAACGGTACCGTATGGCCCGTACCTATGTCCCTGAAACTGAGAGCACCACCAGGACGCAGACATCGCGTGCCCAGCAACAAATACAAACACTACAAAGCATGTTGAAGCTAGTTTATCATCAATCACCCAGCCAGCCACTTACACTCACACATTCAACCTCAAAGCCTTACCCACATGCATTCCTAACCATGAATGATGGTTACAGTCGATCCAAACAGTGGATCCAAACAGGGACCGTAACCAGATTACCGGTCCTATTAGCACATAAAAACTATGTAACACACCAGCTTTCTAGCCACCCATCGCCGTGTGCTCGCCCGCAGGCATCGGTCCACAGACATCCGCACACGCAAAAAGACATGGCATGGTGGTTATGCCTCCTTAGGGTTAGCCTCATGGACAACACCGTACATACATCAAGACCCAAAATGCATGTTCCTGTCTTGCCGCCTCAACATTGCCAGCATTGGGAGTTTTTCCTGCCGTATTCTGCCGGTCATTTTCGTTTGTTGGTTGTTTCTAACGGTCCATCATGCATTTCGTGGCCGCAAGTTGTACGTACGCCTATACGGCAAAGCCTTCAACTTATTTGAAGCTTGCTGCTGGCAAATGACGCTTTACACTATTTCATTTAATGCTTGAAAGTAATGCATTATTGTTTGCTCGAGAAGGCATAAACCTATGAATCCCGACTATTGGAGTTGTAACCTTCCGTAAACTCGTCGTTTCTTGTTAACAAATGGAGTCGTTCTTTCTGGATAAAAGTCAGAAAATACTTGGAGCGACCTGAGGTCATCGGCAGCAAAGAAACAGGATCGGCCGTAGTACTGGTCTGCTGACCCGCACGGAGGATTCCAAAGATACGTGGCCATACAAAGTCATTCACGTGGATACGCATACTCCTTCCACTTCTATGTGCGTCGCATTATTGTTGCTTGTTTGGCCACTATGCTTCTGCCGGTCAATGGTTACGGACTCGACTTCGCCACAGCATGCGGAAACACAGCTTAATTCTGGCATCGAAGCCGTGACAAATGCCCGCGAGTTTGTTGCTGCGCTTGCAAACCCGTCCACCGAAATCCTTCGAATTTCTTCTCCGGAAATAGAAGTTGGTTCCTCAGATTGGAAATCCAGCGGTTTCGACCTTCCTCTTATCCGCGAGCGAGATATTGTCATCGAGGGCAATCCAGAGCTGGCAGAGTGGCCACTCATCAACTTTGGAAATGTCCCAGGAATGGTGCGTACGGTTCCCCGTCCCATCCCACTGCCGCTGCCGCAGCAGCAGCAGCCGAATACGGCATCCGTGCCTTGCATGTTAGGTGCTTCTCGCCATGGTAATTTTTTATGCTTTCTCGAGGGTGAGCACGCATCGCGCATCCGTTATCCGTCCATTAATAAGCGCAACCCAGCAATATGGGGAATAATAATTGCTATAATATGGACTTACGCATGCATGGCTGCTCGCATGTGCCAGCAGCATCCTGTGTAGCCCCCTCCCATCGGCACATACATTCGGGCCCCTGCCTGTCATGAACGGCAGAGTACGGCAACCCCAACCCCAATCCCAGAGTGATCGCTACCCTCGACGACCTCGTTGACATCCCCACTCAACCAACTAAAGCCTGTTGTACTGGGGGATCCCGGACTCCTGTATACATCCAGCGTCCGTCGTCATTCATCAATTATTATCATTATTATTTATTTTATTATTTATATTATATTATTATTATTCCGTACACACGTTGGATGGACTGACAGACGGAGGCTCACATCGCCCGTCATCTCCCCCATTTATTATCACCACCACTACCCCACCACAATCATAATCATCGTCATCGTCATCGTCATCATCATCACCACCACCACCACCATCATCATTATCATCATCATCAGTGTTGACTCCCTTCCAGCGGACATCTCTTCTTATTAAACCCCGCTCCGATAGCGCCCGCCGTGCTGAAGATGAACGGGCACTTTGTAGACGCACGTACACGTACCCGCCCGCATGGCGCGTCAAAAGGTGCACAGGCCTCACGCACCGCCTCCATCTGTGCTAGGTTGCGATATGGTATGAGTGAGGCGGCTCTCCTTTATTTGTGTCTGACCGTCTGTAGCCGCCGGGGGTTTGTACTTCCTTTGCCTGCCTTGCCTTGGATGTAGGTGAGGTTGGCCAATAACGTTACCTTGGCAATGCGATATGTCTTCGCCATTGGTTTTCGCAGCCAGCACTCTCGCATACCCGGTAAGTAGTTGGAGGGGGCACCAGGCCGCTGAGCTCACGAAGAAGGGGAAGGCGCCACCTTGCATTGCTTCTATACTCAATCAGTATGCGAATACGCACAAATACGCACATGCATACGTACACACGTGCACGCACGCACACACACACACACACACTCACGCGCGCAGATGCAAGGTCCCCCCACACACACGCGTAACAGAGACATGTTGATGATGACGCGCCTCCCAGTCAACCCCTGCTTATCGATCGCTTCATGAACCTTCACGACCTTTTTGTGCTAACCCCCCGCCGCCGCCGCCGACCCGCCTTTACTACTGGCGCTGGTGGCGCAGGGCTGGACTTCCTGCTTCCGACTTTAGATGGGGACATTGCCTACATTTCAATTGGACCAGCGGCGGGAAGCTTTGGTAAGACAGCTAACTAGCTAGTCCGCCAGCAATATCTACTAGAGCCCATGGAATTCAAATAGGTGGGGCCCATGGAATTTAAAAACTAAACGTAGTGGTGAATGGTGGTGCCGGTGCTGCCGCCCGCTGACTGCTCGGTGCAGCGACCCCCTCGTGGCGGGTCATCCGTAGATTATGTACCTTGTAGCCGTTACGATCTAGGGACCGTACCGCCCCTGGCCAGGGGGGTGGGAAGGACCCTCCCCATCTATTCTTATACCTTAGGCACAATCTGTATATGGACGGTATAGAATTCTACAGACACAGTAAATTTAGGGGGTATGGTAATGAAAAAATTAGCACTGCGCCGTACAGCGCCCTGATAGCAGATTGTTGCCACATGCAACACCTGATTTACTGATAATAATAATAAAAACAGAGTCAAACAAGGCTGGATAAGCGTCTTATCTGTTATTATGACTCGCAGGCGGCAACAACCTCGGTGAGGCATTGAGCTCTCCTCCATCGCAGCTGAAGAAGTAATTGCCGTTCCTGACCCGTTATAATGGGGCGGGAGGTGCAAAGAAAGGCAACCCGTAATAACCTCTCCATACCTACGTACCGCCGTAATACACGCTACGGTCCAGGCGGAGGCGGTTCCCTTATTAAAATTAATAATGATAATGAATATCAACACATACATGTCATATTATATAATAATATTAATTATATAAGTAGTATTGTTTATATTATTATTTTTATATAAATTTTCTTCGTCTCTTGCCGGTGCTTCCCCCCCCCTTGGCTGTGCAATCGGATTGCCTCGCCTCAGGCTTGTGCTTTCCGGGGGACTACCAGGCTTATGACTTGGCTCTCATGGAGCGCCCCAGCGTATTCCCGGGTAACAACAGTCTCATCTACGATGTACCACAGGTAGGATATACATTTAACACATCGTACACGCAACATTCCTACACGAGTTCGATTCCAACTAATAACTTGACTAGCTGCCCGCAGTAGTCTCGGGTAGTTTATCGCCCAGCTAACTGATGGACAGCCCAGCCCACCTATCGTTAGTCATCCTCCGTTACAACACGTACAAGCCTTCAACCGAGCGGCACGCTCTGCTAAGCCGGTGGGGCAGCCGATCGGCACATTTATCTAGCCCGCACGCACGCCTGACTAACCAACCAACGACCTGGACTGTGTAAAGGGCCCAATGATGTCCAATTCTCTGCGACTGTGTCGCCTCCCACGCTGCTCCAAACAAACAGGATGGATGCATCAACGATACCTCCGCACCCGCTATGAAACGGTGCTGGCCCCTGAAAACATCGATCATAGACTTTGCGAGTTACGGAGCTGACTATGATGTCGCGAGAGATGTAAACAAACCCAATGGATATCTGTTCCATGTGGTGAACTCCTCCTACATCTGCGACGCGGTTGTGGACCGCGAATGTCTGAACCACAGCGAGCCCCTCGTTTGCTACCTGGAGGCGCAGAGTATCTACAATGCGCTTCGGCAAACGCATCAGCAGCAGCAGCAGCAGCAGCAGCAGCAGCAGCAGCAGCAGCAGCAGCAGCATGAGGGGCGGCCTGTTGGTCTTGGCAAGGTGCCATTAATTTGCATTACCACTGTCGCAGGTGGGTGAAAGCACTGACAGACATGCATACATGCTCAGAATAAATACCCAGCATGCAGGTCGGGTAGGTGCTTAGGGTGCTATCTCCGGGTGCTATTTACTTTTCCATATATATATAGGGATGCGAATTTACGTTTTACGTTTTTACGTTTTAAGGAATTAAGGTTACGTAATTACGTAATTAAGATTGGACCTGGCCGTAATTTACAGAATTAAGGGCTCGCCGTAATAAGGTCCCTCAGGAGGGGTAGAAACCTTAAAAGCTTAACAGACCCATGGGTCTTACAGGTTCCGCCGGTCTGCAAACCAGGGTGCCGCTGACCCGTCCACTCCTCCGAACACACCACAAACCCAGCCATGGGGGAAGCGTGAAAGAGTCCAACAATGCAGGTTGAAACCCGCGATTCCCTCCGCCCAACCAAGCAAAAGAGCAAGTCAAGTAGTCAACACGACAAGTAGTCCTGGTTTGCAACGGTATTAGGTGTCGTGGTCGAGTATGTATGCACGGCACCCAGTCGGTGGGCTTGGCCTTGTCGCACGACATGCTGGGCGGCAGGACCGGCAAGCCCGCAGCATTGCGAGGGGGCAAAGCGTACGCGAGCAGCGTGGTGCCCTTTTTCATATGCTGCTGCTGGTCCTTAAGAGCAGGTGGTGTTGCAGTATCAACGCCGCCATACGCGCCGGTGCCGGGGGTCGTGCCCGCGTCAGCCATGGTTCAAATTGGAAAGGCGATAGTCGCCAAGTCGGCTGTACAAGCGCCAAACTGATGTCGAAAATATGTAAATAAGTAAAGAATGGTGTTGCGAATGTGAAAACGCTGAAATTGTGCTGAAAATCCAAAATCGCACACTAGTACGGCAACCTTAAATTAAGGGTCCAGGGTCCAGGCCGTGGAAACCGTAAATTACAGTAATTTACTATATTAAGCTTTTAAGCTTACGTAATTAAGGTTGCCAAATCCCAATTCAGCTGAAACTCACATCCCTATATATATACACCCCTCCCCCTCCCATGCAATACACCTGCCTGGGGAACGCTTATCAGGGTCGGTTTTGCTAATTGCGGTGTTGCTGATTGCCGTGGCATGGAGGCGATGGCAGCTGGTCAAAGGACATCAACACGGGTTTGACGACGTGAACGGTGTGTCTCACGGCCGTGCTGCTGGTGGCGACGACACGGTCGGGAATGGAGTCGAGGGCCGGGAAGCGAAAATGGCGACGCTAGTCATCATCCAGCAGGAGGGGGACCGAAAGGCAGCAGGCAACGGCAACGGCAACGGCGACGGAGGCCACAATAAAGGCGGCGCGAGACCAAATTCGGTCACAACCGGAAAGCAGCAGCGACTGCCGCTGGCCTCTGTTGCCGCTGCCGCTGCCGCCAAGGGGGAGGCTGGTCATCTCCAAATAACTGTTACGGGGCAGTGAGTAGTAATAGTAATAAATGTAATCATATCATTATCATTATTATCATTATTGTTATTATTATTGCAATTATTATCATTATATTATTATTATTATTATTATCTTATATAATAATAATGAAAATGTATGGCTCCTGGTAATGATAGTTTTCCCACTATTATCCTGGCCTTTGCAGCTCCCTAACGTGTGCTCGTGCATTTCGTACGGCGGTCCACGTTTTGCCAGCAGGATCGTGTGTCGTGAGTTTAAACTAGTGGGACGTGTGCGCTAATAGGATTATATTTCTGACATGTATGTTGTGTGCGCTAGTTGCCTGTCTGTACATCTGAGCTGCATGTATACATGTATGTATGATGTGTGAAACAGGGGGGTGCATCTTCGCCCGTGGCAGCTACCCTGCGAAACCCTGCCTTCCCCGGTATTTCGGTGCACCCTCATCCAGTTACCCTAGTCAACTTCTCCTCAGCGGATCGCTCAGGTTCCGCACCCACCACCAGCATCCAACGGAATCTGCCGGGTCGACAGCGGCCCAACTCCATTCCTGGTCGGCTCGCAGGTTAACTTTATCCCAGGTCACCACCGTCCATCAACTAGGGGCGCAATGCCTTCCACCATCGGAAGGACTTTGACCCTAATGGGTATCGATCCCGGGATCTCCCGGGAGCAATGGTCCCGCGGTATGCATGTATGCATGTATACATATGTATGTCGGCATGTTCCAGGTGCTTTCATATGGTATATAAACCCAGACATACATACACACATACTTTCACACACACAGGGCTTGCGGAAGCGACTGCGGCAGCGATGCCCCCAACGGTACGGAGCTCTCGGCGGATGAAGCAGTAGCAGCAGTAGCAGCAGGGCTGGAACCCGCGGACCCCAAGAACGGTGAGTCATTACCTAGCTGCTGCTGCTGCTGCTGCTGCTGCTGCGCTTCTGGTGGAAGAGCTAGGGCTACATGTAGCCAGCTCTTCCACCAGCCAGCTAGGGCAGCGTGGGGATGATGATGATGATGATTAGGATGCGGAAGGGATGGCGGGGAAAGGATGCGAGGTACCGAGGTGTACAAGTGCATGTGGGTTTGCGCACGAGGATAACCCTAACGTCCCTGAAGGACCCAAAAGCGACCGCGCACGTGCGAACGCGACCGAGGTAGAAGGCGGCCCGCCCACGGCGTGTGTATATGTGTACAATACAGCTGCATGTGAAAGCCGTCGGCTAGGCAGGGCTGCTGTGTACATGCTGTGTTTACCACGCTTGCGCGAATTACCTCTTCGCTGCTGTGCTGGAGCCGCCATCGCCCGTGACCGACAGCAACCGCCATCCCCCCCCCGCCGTGGCGGCGGCGGCGGCGGCGCTCTATCTTATCGCATGGCACCCCGCTGCAGGGTGCTTCCCCGCGGACATCACCCTTAAGATGGAGCGTATACATGCATGCTTTTATTATTGAAAATGTGCAACAAATAATAAAAAATTAATATATTACATGGAAATGTCATATATGTGTGTGTGTGTGTGTGTCTGCATGTACATATGTGCGTATATACATACATGCACACTGTGCAACTATGATTGTCAAATCCTAGGCCTCATGAGCTCGGATGGGGACTGCTACCGCCTCCCAGTTGGCGGTCCGTCTGCCCCACAGTCCGCACCCGCACCCGCACCCGCACCCGCACCCGCACCCGCACCCGCACCCGCACCCGCCCCCACTCGCTATCCCTCCGCGCTACCCATCACCCACCCACCCTATCTAGCCTATCCAGCCTATCTAGCCGTCCCGGTTAACCCTTGTCCTATTATTTAACAAATCCCAGTAGTCGGTAAAAGCTTAACATTCCTCGACACCCCCTCTGCCTTTGTCATTACCTACCTACCTACCTGCCTATCTACCTACCTATTCGGGTATGTAACATCCAACGTACGGCGCGCCGGCGGAGCTGGTGCGAAGTGGGGCTGCTGCCGGTAGCTGGGCAGGCTGTAGTTGGGAGGTCGGTCACCGGCCCACCGTCTGGGCCGCCACTGCCTCCACGAGATGCCGCTTCGGTGCTTGACATGTACGACAAACTGGTGACGCCATTTACTCCACAGCGACCTAACATGGTGCTTAACGTTCAGCTTCTTCCTCCTGCAGCTGCTCCACGAGATACCACGACGTCTGATGCTGCTGGTATGTATGTGGCGGTTGAAGGCAGGGAAGGGAAGGGCAGGGAAGGGAAGGACGTGAAAACACAGGTAGTGATGTCCTCGGGGAGTGCTTCTACACAGGCTGCGTAGTAAACTGTCGTGTGTGTCTCTGTGTGTGTGCGTGAGGTGCCCTCTTGCTTCCGGGCCGGGGACGAGTGAGAGCAGTGGATTTTACTTGTGCGAAGACGGCGAAAAATCTAGTCGTGCAGTGCAGTGCGGTGCCATCCCCGAGGGCGGAAGAAACTTATAAAATTAAGGACACTACTCTCTGTTGCAACTTCTACTGGAAAAATGTCGGTCCCGCAGCAGCAAGGAGAGCCGGCAAGGATGGCGGCAAGAATTGTTCCAGTAGTGGTGGTATCCGTTCACGTGATTGTGGCGGCCGTGCTGGGGATGCTGGGGACATCAGCAGGAAAGGCAACGGCAGCGGCAGTAGCGGCACCACGGTGCCACCCAGGGTGGAGCTACTGCCGGTGGTACTCGGCAAAGGCGCTTTCGGGCGTGTGGTGGAGGGGCTGTACGGCGGTCGCCGCGTGGCGGTCAAACTTTTCACCATTGATGCGCAGTGGAACGCCCTGGGGCAGCTAGGGGTTACTGCTGACCACCTGCAGAAGATCTTTCTCCAGTGCTTTGAGCAGGAGTTGCAGGTGTGGGTGTGTGTATGTATGTGCGAGGGTGTGTGAGAGTGTGTGAGGGTGTATGTGACAGTGAGTGAGGGTATGTGTGTATCTGTTACATATCATTCCGGGGCTGAAGCTGGCCAGGGGCACCTAACCGTATACCCCAACGGGGACGACCATCGAAGCATTGGAGGGGCGTTATATCGGTCTTGAGTCCTGACCGTTCTCACGACCGTCCTCCCTTATCAACGCAAGGCGCCGTCACCTGTTCGAATCCTCCAGCCAGCTATGTACACCAACTTAGATGCCAAGCAACCTCTGTTCCACTGAGGGCGCATGCTCTACAGCTGCACGATCTACAATGCACTCACACCAGTGCCAATCACCACCCTATCCTTGAGAATTGGGCCAGGCCCTAGGCAGAATTTCTTCCTCCACCACTGCTCTGCGATTTTCATGGTGAGCTCCCTCTCCAGCCCCCCAGCGCACTGGAGGAGCCAGGATCATGTCCAGCTTTCAACACCACGTTCCTAATTCACCCGAGGGGGGACCAGCGGTGGGATTCGATCCCACATCTTCTCTGGAATTTGAGCTCCAGACTTGTCGTTTATATGTGTGTGTGTGTGTGCGTGTGCGTGTGCGTGTGCGTGTGCGTGTGCGTGTGCGTGTGCGTGTGCGTGTGCGTGTGCGTGTGCGTGTGCGTGTGCGTGTGCGTGTGCGTGTGCGTGTGCGTGTGCGTGTGCGCGTGTGCGTGTGCGTGTGCGTGTGTGTGCGTGTGTGTGTGCGTGTGAATGAACTACTGGGTTGCATGTGTGGGGTCGATGTGGTGTGGTGTGGGCGTGCGGCGGATGGTTTGGCGGGAGGCATTGTGAGGGGAGGGCATTGCTAGGGTGCATGGGATCCGTGTGCACAAGCGCACACTCGGCCTTGCAGGTGTCGATATCTGGCTGGGTGCTGTTGCGCATCAACAAATTATTAAGTCATCTTTTCCGTGCAATCAACATGCCATACTAGATGGCAACCCTACGTGCGACGGCTTTGTCCGGATTATCCCTGCCTTATATGCCCGATACATACATACAGTCATCCACCATGCGTGCGTGTGTTTTTGCACTATGTATGTGTGCAGATCCTCAGCCGCTGCCAGCATCCTAATGTCGTAGAGTTGCTCGCGGCGTGTGTGACCCCTCCCCGGCTTTGTCTCGTGATGGAGCGCATGGAGGCTTCCCTGGAGCATATGTTGTACGACAGTACGGCTAGCGGACCCATGCCACTTAAAAAGCTGTGCATGCATGGAGCCTCATGCACACATGCATGCTTTGGTATGTGATGTGATGTTTTGTGCTCGTTAGGTAAATGCATGTGGATAGCTTTATTTGTTGTCCCGTGTACCGTATATGGCTACATATGGCTATGTATTCGCACCTAACATGCGTCTCATTCTGCACATGGACATTTTGCAAGGGATAGGTTGCCTGGCCTGCTTATTTGGATGTATGACCGCCTTGACTGGCGCGGCTGGCTTTACTAACTACTACTTACATGCCAATGGCAGTAGTCCTTGGCTGCCCTGCTGCTGCAGCTGACAAGGGACGCCTCCCCACCTACTTACCTACCTACCTACCTACCTACCTACCCATTACCCACCTACCTAACTACCTAACTACCTGATCACCTACCAGGTGCTGCAAATCAGCATCGACATTGCGACTGCACTGGCTTATCTGCATCCCACTGTCGTACACAGAGACTTGAAGGTACGACCACAATGCCGCATTTACGTGACAATCAACCTAAAGAACAAGCGAGTGTACTACTAAACCCTACTAGTATGCATACTTAGGGTATGCATACTAATGATAATGTCTTCAAGTGGCCCAGAAGCCTTCCACTCGTAACAGTCCAATTCATTTAATCAACTTGCGAGCTAACCAGGAACTAAGTTGATGCGCCGTTGATCCGCTAGATTTGGTTGGATGCTGGTGGTGAGTTGCCGAACCCAACGAGTACATTCTGAAGTCGGATGGGGTGACGGATTAGGGTGCCCCTCTAGCAGGGGAGAGCAGGGACTGCCCCGGGAAAGGGGGCCGCTGGCGAAGTTAACCACCCTGTAACAACAAAAAAATATATACACGCACGTCGATGGAATATTTTATGGTCTATAGACAGGGTCACCGTATAATAGACAGATATGATTAAGAAATGCATTTGTATGTACAATATATTGTATATACAATATAATATATATTACTAATACACAATATATTTGTTTATTAGATTCATGGTACAGATTCGTCGATGCACCATGCCACGGTATAATAGATAGGCCTGAAATTAGATAATCCATAGACGGTCCAAATGTTTTTTTTGTGTGTGAAATTTTGTATCGTGTACAGCTAGACCGTGTCCTTGTATAATAGATAGGGATGGTCCTAGCCTACTTGTTGTCATGACAGGGATGGGGAAATTGGCGACCAGCAGTAGTGTACGACACCGGAAGGCAGCCTATGTACAGCAGCTCGATTTTACACAGCTTCATCAACAGATAGATGTGAACGCGTCACAATGACGACGCACGTGCACTTACGCGGTTCATGCAGGACTTAATAAATGGTGGTTTTGTGCAGCAGCAGAGCAGTAGTATAAAACAGCTCTGCATTATGACATATAATACAGAAGGGCAATAATTAAGTAAATAATAGCTTACGCCCCTACCTGTTGGTATGTAAATTTATGAGATAGAAGGGCACTGATGGCGCCAACAGGTTGCCGATCAGGTTACGTATTACGATTATTCGTACTACTAATAAGATATGCAGCAGCAGATTACAGCAGGTTATGAATCCGCCGTATAAAATATATGCATTTTTAAATGTATATGTGTTTTTCGTGCAGCCCGCCAACGTGCTTTTGAACAACGTGGAGAGTGATCGGCCCGTCGTGAAGCTCTCGGTGCGTGCTTATTTGCTGATGATGGCTATCTATATGTCTATCTATTTATCTATCTATCTACCTATCTATCTGTCTGTCTGTCTGTCTGTAGCTATATATATTTTTTTATTTTTTTTCGGCACCATACCTATCCACACATGCAACACCTACATACCTGAACCTGAATGTGGGCTGCTGCTGCTGCCGCCAAAAATCCCCCTAATTACTTCTTGAGACAGATGCAGACATGAGAGCGCTGTAAGATATATTAGTGCTGTCCGTACTGTACGACAGCTACCACGTATGCTTGCTCTCCAGCCTAATAAACAGGGCGCCTCGTCTGTAACTTTTATGGCTTTTAGACTCGGTCCTCGTATAATAGGTAGGACCGAGAAGTAGGCCGTATACAGATTCAACGTACAGGATAATGGTCTATAGATTGTGTCATGGTATAGTAGGTAGGTCCGAAATTAAATTGGTGATGAACTAAAGTTCCCCTTTAGGGGAAGAACCCCAAAGTCTTCGTCCCCTCACGTATATAAACACTTCTCCATGCTGTTCCTGCTAAATGCATTTTTCGGTGGTCGCAACTTCGAAGTAACAAATTAAGGAATTCCTTGATTTGTTACAGCAGCCGTCGATCTGCTACTGTTATACCACAACTTCAAAAAAGCACCGATCGGCGGACGCAGATCCTTTGATGTGCCCTACAGGATATGCACTATCAGCTACCACCCGTATTTTGGTCATTTGGGTTTATCAGACTGCTGATGCTGCACTATGCGTGCGAGGACGGCTGCTGAATATTTATTTGGATCTCATTTCCGAATTGGACCGTCTTCTCTACAGGTTATCCTAAGTTAGGCCTATCCATCTGCTGTACTGCACTGTACAGTGCAGTACAGCAGTACATGTACTGTACCGTGCTGTGCTTTGCTGTGTTCGTTGTGCTGTGCGGTGCTGGAACCCCTACTGCTGCTGGATCTACTCTTTCTCACGCACTTCGTGGGGTTTGAAAGCCTGGAAACCACCAACGTACACCCGCCCACATCTAACCATACAACTATATATCCACAACCTTCATTCCCATACCAACATTCCAGACCATCTCCACACACGCACCAACCGCCGCCAACTACACCAACCGCCAACCGCACGCACTACCCATGCCACATGTACCAGGCTGCCATATTATGCGCCAGTCATCCACACCCACCACTTGTATGAAGGGTTCAGCTCCCTCGGCATCTCCCTGAGTACTTTGGTGCAACACCTCTCCGAGCCGCCCACCCATTACCGTGCTGCTGCCTGCTCTCTGGGCTGCTCTCTCGGCTGCAGGACTTTGGACTGTCACGGCTTCGAGTTACGGTCAAGTCCACCAAGGCCCCAGATGCCGGCACGGTGTGTGAGAGATAGACGTGGCACTAATAACCGGATGCGTGAACGGACAGACAGCAGACAGACAGACAGACAGAAAGACAGGCACGGGAACACTAAAAAAAACTTGCAGAGCCAAGGAACGGCGGATTTCATGGTATTGTTTTACAGGACGTGTTTTTGCCGTCGTAGTGGCCGCACATGTGCGCGAGGACCCTGGGAAATGTATCCATGAACGTATGTCTGTATATATATGCTGTTGTCTGTATGGTTAGATAGAATTAACGAGATATATGCACATACATATGTACATATATACCTTTCCGATGCATAAACCTTTCCAATCACCAACAACATCATGAACACGAGCCCCGTGCCCCTGCTATCTACCGCCGCCGGCGGCTGTGGCGTGATGATGGCGCGCGTGTACCGACCGACATATGCACTGGATATCGCTCGATGGCCTGATGACGATCGCCGCACGTTGCCCTTCCACGCGGGATCCCCTCCGCCGCCGCCGCCGCCGCCGCACGCCTTCACGGACTTCTACAACATTGTCCTCTGCTATGTAGGCCCCCTACATGTCGCCGGTAGGTAGCTGGGACGTACAGACAGACAGATCGACAGGCAGACAGACAGATCGACAGGCAGACACAGATGTTATGCATGCCTGCATACGCCTATGTTTACATTACCGGCAACCCTGTGAGGCCGTATCATTGGTACTCGGTTGCAATTGTGAACTGTGTCGTTGCGAACATATATACATATGTACATGGGACAGACACTGCTGGTAAAGCACACACAGATTCCCCCGGAGGTTCCGGGATCGAGACCTATCAGGGTCGGAATCCTTTCGATGGTGGAAGTTAAAAGTGTTCCAAGTCGATGGACGGTGGTGATCTGGATAAAGTTGACCTGCAAGCTGACCAGGAACGGCAGATTGCAGCGGTGGGAGCTTGTAGTAGCTGGCGCCGTTGAAAAGGCCTCTCGAGATGCTGGCGGTCGCGCTTCGCGCGTATTTGTAGAGCCGTACTGTGTACCAGCTACTACAGAGCTGAACTTGTATTGGTGATGGGTGCTGAACCTAGGCGAGAAGTTGCCTAGGGTGACTGGATGAGGGTGCCCCGAAAAACCGGGGGTGGCAGGGTCTGCCAGTCAGCGGCTGCAGGGTGAAGATATAAACCCCCTGTCCCACACATCATATCTTCGGTTAGACCTTGTAGTTGCGGACATGCATACACCTTTAGGAATGCAGCATATATTTAAAATGCTGCATTCCTAATATACATATACCTCTACATGTATATAATACCTTGCATGAATGCGAATGCTTGATAGATATAGGCATATAAAACGAACTTGATGATATTGATATGTTCGTTAGTTGTCGTTGTTGTCCCAGCCCTATCAGCTAGCCAGCAGCCAGGTCGTCGTTGCCATCGGTTGCAATTGCCGTTCATTACTGCCATGACTGCAGGAGTGTTTCGACGTCACCGAGAACCGCATTACACACCAAGCGGTACGTGGCTTCCCTGCTGCCTGCTGTAGTAGCTGCCGTACAGTACGGCACACATATCGCCTATAAATTCGCGCTGAGGCGACCTATATGCCAGTAGCACCTTATCATCAAGAGGCCTTTTCAGCGGCCAGCTACTACTACTATTATTACTACTACTACACAGCACCTTTATGTCACACGCATACGGATGCACCCAGTTCCACATACATACAAGCATAGGTCAGACACTATTGGTAAAGCACACACTGATGCCCCCGAAGGTTCCGGGGTCGAGACCTGTCATGGTCGAAAATAGAAGGGTAAAAGTGCTCCTAGTCGATGAACGGTGGTGACCTGGGATAAAGTTGACCTGCGAGCTGACCAGGAACGGAGTTGAGCCGCCGTTGATCCGGATACAATTTTGAATCTTACGACCGTCGAATGTGACATGCTCTTATGGACGACGCCCAATACACAATATACGGGATGATGATGCTCACTGTATATGTCCTGCTGCTAAACATCCGGTGCGTGTGGCATGGGGATGGGTGCTACATATGTTGCTATTCCAGATAGTACGTGTCTTGTACGGCTGCTGCTGTTAACTCCCGTCGTCGTTTGTTCGTGTTCTTTATCCTCCATTTGCAGGACATCTACTCCCTGGGTGTACTAATCTGGGAGATGCTGGTCGGCAAGCGGCCCTGGGAAGGAGTGAGCGATGTAGCGGTCGCGTTCATGGTGCGTTCATGGTGCGTGGGTGCGTACGTATGTATGGATCCCCTATGGCATACATTCGACCAGTCAACGATCGGCGACCCTCCGGCCCAACCGGTCGGTAGGGTGGGGCCTCGGTAGGGTTAGCGAGGGGTCTTTAACCCACCGATGGGCCACCACTGGGTTCTCGGCCGGGACAGACAAAACTCGGTTGACCTTAATGGAATGCAATGGAAAGTGCATATATACTAGTACTTGTATCATAAGTAGTGCCTTGCTTGTCTGCACCTGCGCCAACATTGGTGAAGGAACAAGCTGACCTGAGTTGCAGCAGCACTAGTACTAGTACTAGTATGTACTAATATGTACTAGCATGTACTAGTACATACTAGTAGTACATACTAGTACATACTAGTACATACTAGTATGTACTAGTATGTACTAGTACATACATTTTATGTTGTTGGGCTCGGACAAACATGGCAAGTCTTCTAGGAGTATTACTTTGCTTTTTTAATATCACGAAGACTAGTTTTGTCAGCATAGCATAGCCCCCAACCGACATGCGATGGGAAAGAAGGCCGACGGCAGCAAACGACCCCCTTGCGCGACTCCAATTATTTCATCACAACCTCAGAAAAGTACAGATTGCCAGATGCCGATTTTCGTGGCATTTGTCCACGCATACTACAGGACGGCCCCTCTCAAGCCCCTTCAATCCAAACTGAAGCCTTCCCCACCGAAACGAAGCCCACCGCCCATCACGTGATATGAAGCCCGGCTTCAGCGTGGGGCCCACGAGCATGTTGAAGTCCAGCTGCTTCATTTCAAACTGAAGTCCTCCTGCCCCTTCATTTTAAGATGAGCACGGAATGTGCACAGAAGGAAGGGTTTTCCGGGAAAATGAAGGGAGGCCAGGGTTCCCAGAGTGCTTTGCGCCTTATATTTATTTAGTAGCCGGTCGGCCGACCGCGGTACATGCATAGCTGATGCGACCTGGCAAAAAAATACATTTACAGCAGTTCAGCAGCTACGATGCTTTGGCGATGAATTGTAAGTACGTATGTATGTAAATGTACTATTGCGTGTTCCCAGGTAACGTACAAAGGCCTGAGGCCGCCGCTGGAAGATGTGCCCCCAAGCCGCTGCCCTGCCAAGCTCGCCCAGCTGCTGACGGCCTGCTGGGAGACCGACCCCGCCAGGCGGCCCGCCGCGGCGGAGGTGGCCAAGGAGCTGACCCTCATGCTGGAGGTGAGCGGCGGCGGGTGACGCACCTGGGGGGGGAGGTGCCTCATCACGCAAGGGTGCTAATTGCGTCAGCAGCAGCAAGACCTGCATTTATCTAATATTTATATAATAATATGTAAATTACATATTTCTATATTATCCATAATATAGGATTTATGGAATATATATATATATATATATATATATATATATATATATATATATATATATATGCACGTGTTATATAATAGCCATGCGCGCATGTCACCGCGGGGCTCGCTCTGTGGGGAATATGCAGCAGCAGCAGCAGCAGCAGCAGTAGAGTATCGCGGTGGATGCCGGCTTCACTTTGGGAACCAATAACGGGCACGTAGCAGGAGCAGGCGCGCGCATACAGGTAGCTAGGCGGCAGCCGACGATCCGCTGATTGTCCCACGTAGTCGTGTATATACCTACTTTTAAATAAAAATACTAATAGGTTAATATAACAACGTTAACCTGCAGCGGCTTGATTTTGGATTTGTTACATCTATACTTAATTACACCTGACCAGCAAGAGGATGACGAATTTTCATAGGATGAATTTGTCCGCGACCTGCCTGTGTGTGTGTATGCTCCTGTTTGCTGCTGCCTGCTTTCATGCAGCGACTGCAGCAGCAGCCTTAGCAGCATCAGCACCAGGAGCGGTGTATGGAGCGATGGTGGGTTCAATGGAGCAATTAGAAGTTGCTGCTGCTGCTGCTGGTGATGATGATGACGATGCTGCTGAAGATGCTGCTGAAGATGCTGCTGAAGATGATAATGATGATGATGGTGGTGCTGAAGATGATGAAGTTGATAATGAAGTTGGTGATCAGTGTAAGAAGGGTTCAGCTCCCGTGGCATCTCCCTGAGTACTCTTTGCCTGGTGTTACAATCAGCGAATTCAAAGACATTCGACGTACGCTCTCTCACGCGTGAGTGCGAGGTGGCGGAAGGATGAAGGAAATAAGAGTGGGAGTGAAGCGAGGAGCAGTGCACTGCAGCGAATTACATGCATGCACATCCTGCCATTTATACGTTTGACGCATGCATGCCAGTCTGTTGTGTACAAAACATGTTTTGTACTGATCCGCCATGATCCCCCGAGCCCTTTCCCGGCAAGCTGAAGGTAGCTATATGACATAATAGCATGCAGCAGGCCTGCTGCTATTATATATAGCCCATGGCTGGCTAACTAGGACGGGAAGTCATTACGAGACATCAGCAGGCTGTCAGTGCGATGTTGTTGGTTGTGGTGATAGGGAAGTGGACGTAGAAACGATGTACTGAGAAATCTCTCTCGGCTGTATCAACCAGGATCGCCACATGGCTCAGGGGGGTGGACGTTATTCCAGTGACAATAAAGTATGTGCGCAGCACGCAGTGGATAGCTGTACACTTAGCTAGGCTTGTACATCTTCATCACCCGGTGTACATCGTTCACCGGCTGCAAGGCCGTACTCACGTACGTTACGGCGCTTAGTTTGAGGAGCACCTAATAAGTCACGGAGGGAGGAGTTTTGCGATGATGACACTGTGTATGTACGGCAAATTGGGGAAGGCGTTGTTGTATATGGCATGGAACCACCGTTAAGAGCCAGAAGCGTCGACATCAACCGTTTTGTTCGTTTGTATGTTATGCTGCCCTATTGCAGCAGTGGCTGGTTAGTGTGATCGAGCTGATGGCAGCGTTTGATATTCGTTTCACTTTCGTTTCCACTTCTAGCGACTGTTGCTCATAGAAAATGATGTTGCTTTTATTTATGCACGATTATTCGTCCGTGCAGGTGTAGGAATGCATGTGATGCGGCAAGTAAACCGCTAGAAACGCCCGTCTATGCATCATCCTCCATCATCACTCACGCACTAATGCATGCTCGCTAACTAACTAACTCGCTCGCTCAGATGGATGCACGGCGACACAAATATGCGAGGGGCGAGGTAATAAACCTGGTAATAAACCAGGGGACGTTTACGTATCATTAACATTACTGCGCACGGTATTAACCTTATGTGCACACACACAGCACACACAGCACGCACGCATACAGGAATCAAACCCCTGGGCTCTGTAATCCCCAGAAAGGGTCCACCATCTCCACCACCACCCCCTATCAAACGTGGCACCAGGGGCACACCTCTGCTCGGTCACACTGTCGTCGGCCTTCACCACCACCACACGTGCTGCCGCACCTCGCTGTACCGGTCTCTCGGTGATTGACATGTATGAACAGGGCCCTCGCACGCGCGTCCGTCGGCATCTTGAAATAGGACTTTTGAGCGGCCAGCGGCTACTACATTAAGAACCAAATATACCCCTCTCCTATCCATGCATTGAAGGACGTCTCTACCCCAGCTCCCTCAGGTAGCAGCTATAACTGCACCTGCAATCATGTACGTCCAGGCACACATTGAACTCTCCTCCATTATTATAATCACTCGCACCAAGTCCAGACCCCTAGACTTAAGTCCATGCATGGCAGCATGCAAACCATGTCATAACCTCCAGGATCAACCACACCAACCCTGGGAACCAGACCCTAGAACCCGGTCATGACCATACAAATAACGAAAATGGGATTGCCGCTGCCGCTGCCAGCCGATCTGCAGACTTGTGTAACAGTTGAATCCTCTCCTGGGTCTTGCCTCCATGATTCGTTAGTAGTGCAGAGTGAAGATACCCACGGCCTGTCCATGGCCGTTGGGAATTGGCCTTCATCAAGAAATCCAGCAAGGCCTTCCGGCCCCCCCCACACCTGTCTGGCTGCCGCGTGGGGAAGCTAGCAATCACTGGACGTTCTGTCGACAGAATCCACTGCAAGGCCTGTCGCTCCTCTTCCTCCTGCACCTATGCCTGGATGGCCCAACCGCGCTCCACGCCTCCCCTTCATCTGTAGTCGCACAGGAACTCCCAACTCTCCTTCCATTCGGGTCGTAGCGCTGTCTCACCAGGCGCCGGGGACGCATTCTCTCCGCCTTCCGGACACCTTCCCCATCTCCCACGAGCCCGGACTGCTGCCCTAGGCACGAGGTCACCAAGCAAGCTCTCGGGTCTCTCCGGGCACCACAATGGCCTTCCCAAGCGCCCCGCCTTCCATGGCGGCCTGACGTGCAACCGTGGACCGCTATTGGGAAGTGCCACCGCAGCGGCTTTTTCTTCACTAAAAGCGCAGAGTCGCCCCCGGCCGCCAAGCGCGAGGCTACCTCCGCTCGTATCACTCGGTTGACTCCCTGTTCCAAAGGTCTTCAGAAAGGGTAAGCAGGGGAGCTAGGGCAGATTAAGCAAAGCAGGCAACAGGCAAGCCAGGAAAACAGTGCAAGCAAAGCCCAGCAGCGCGAGGACCTAAACTGGCGCCGCACTAACTGCAACAGAGGCCCCTTCGTCCTCGGTTACCGTTTTAAGACAGAAAACCGCATAGATCCACAAGCAGGGCTCCGATCCCAGCCTGTGAGCTCGACCAGCGTGCCGACTTACTTGCATCGGCCCCGATGCTCAGCCTGCTTCTCAATCTCTCCTGTAATTTACATGAATTTAAGGAATTTTATTTCAAATCTGTACCGGGGTCCAATGGCGTTGCAACTCCTAACCTCGCCTCTCTCTGTGTGCCTCTGACTTTGATCCTTTGCACCCCGGAATATCACTCTTTAGGTCTGCCAGTTTCGATGGTCGATCCGTTGCTTAATGCCAACCTCTTGCCAGCATAGGGCCCCGGTCCTTCTGTTGCTCGGATCGGCTGCCTTCCGTAACCAAGCTGCACACGGAACATTACACTCAGTTTCTGCTGGACTGCTATCTTTTGTCAAAAATTATTTGCCATGCTTTATTGCACCTCTCGCCATCATGTTGCGCGGCGTAACGCAGCTGTTGTCGCGCAATCAGCTGCATCACCATCTCCCTCGATAATGCCTCGCATCTTCAAATTTAAGGACATAGGCGCATCCTGGCATTCTGAATTCAATGAGAGGTGTGTGTACCGCTCCCCGAAGCCTAGGCCTGCAAAACATCGCAAACGAAACCTGAGCAATATGCACACAATCTTTCAGCAGCCGCAAAGCTATGCGCTACGACTACATTCTAGTGCATACTCAGTACATCTTCCCATTTCTATCACCGCTGCTCTGTTCTTGAACCTTAAATCCTGGATCTGAAGTGATCACCGACATCGGACCCGACAAAGCGTACTGTTGCTACTAACCAACTAACGCCCCCGCCGCAGCACCTAGCACCTGCCTACTTGCACCCACCATCGCTCCGTCCCCCCCGTCAAACCTTCCGTTCCGGTCAGCGCTTGGCGCGGCTTCATGGGCAACTGGTACGGTGGCGTGCACGACCCCAATACCTATCAAGTAATGCAGGGATTACGTACTTGGCGGTGGCGCGGTGAGCTCTAAGCGAGGAGGAGCATTGAACTTGATAACCTGATGACGGTCCCAGATGATGCATCAATCAAATCGCAATTGTGGCGCATGCATGCATGCATGTATGATGCATGCATGATACTGCGTCTATCTGCGCTGCACTTGTCTATCTCTAGGTCGGCTACGTCCTTTGCATGATGCATATTGTACTTATGTAAGAATGTATCGGACGTGCCCACAGACTCCAGCCGCCGTATCCTCGACCAGATCAATGTGTACGGCACCAACCGACCAGGAACTGTCAAGCGAGAGCGCGACGGCCTGGGGCAGGTACGATCCGGTCTCGTTCGGTGTTACGCAGAGACGGCTAACGTGGCCAGTTCCAATAGTTGGTGGCGCAAGGTTGGCCGTCAGGTTGGCGAAATCCATTCATTGTAAGGTATCTGGGGGGAAATTCTTCGAGCGCCCCACGGCTTGTGCATCGGACTTCCTGCGTGCCTCGCTGGGCTTGGCTGGGCTCGCCGGCTGCCCCCTACTTGGGCTCGTTGCTTGGCTTGGTGATTGCAGGGGGCGAGCCCAGCGCGGCAGGCAGGCAGGCATTGCCTGCTTGCATAGCTGCCTGCTTGGCTGGCCGCGCGCGCCTGCCTGCTTGGCTGCCTACCGCCACCCAGCTGCCTGCCTGCCTGTTCGTTGTACTGCTGGTGGTGGCTGGTGGCCCTCCCTCCGTCACTCTCACTCTCACACCCGATCACACCCGCTCTCACTCACTCACTCACTCACCCACTCACCAGATGACCCTCCAGTACACGGGCAAGATGGTAGAGCCCGAGTTCCGAGAGGTAGCACAGAGTGGGGAGGATGGGGACGGGCACGGGGCGCGGGGGGGGGAGAGGGCTGTGGTGGCGTAACTCGGGGTTCGCTGCAGCGGGAAACAGTGCGGGGGAAACAGCGGGTTGGGCCCAACCTACAGAACCACCTGTTGCTGGTCGCTAATTTCAGCGACAGAAAGACGCGGCGGCTGTAGAGTAATCGGCCGTTACACATGAGTCAGTGCGGGGGTGCGCCCCGCCACTGCCTACCCTTGCACAGGGCGCGAATAAGTCAATCCGAGACGTGACGTTAAAACCGAATCTTAACCGTTTCGCCCCTGGACCGAATTCTTAACGGTTTCGCCCCTGGATCCCCCCCTTCCCCAGGAGCCTGTCAGTTTGGAGCGTGCGTCCGTTGTGGCGCTGAGCCCGGCTGTGTTGGCCTGGCTGAGCCGCTTCTGGCTGCCGCCTGTGGCGGTTGCGGGGCCGCCGCCGCGGGGTGTGCTGGCGGCGGCCCAGGCGGCGGCGGACGACGAGGGCAAGGTGGTGGCGGCCATTCGCAGCGACAGCTGGGGCATGGAGATCTTCCTGCGGGTGCGGGGATTTGGGGAAAGATTCTGTTTGGGTGGCGGCTGCTGCTTGGTGCTGTGTGATGGTGGTTGTGGTTGTGGTTGTGGTGTAGGAGTCTCCCTTTGGGAGTTTTTACCTTTCAGATACTTCATTGACTGGTAGGTGGTAGGCAAGCTATGCCATCATGCCCATCTACATGTTTATATAGCTGGTAATCCGTCTGTCAGTTTATCCGTATTTCAGTTTAACCGTATGCCAGTTTAACCGTATTTCAGTTTAACCGTATGCCAGTTTAACCGTCGGCTCATTCGTTCGTGCCATTTTGTTCCATGTCAGGACGGCGACTGCCGCTGGAGCTTTCCACTGGTGTACGATGCGGCGACGGGCGCACTCACCCGTACTGCCCTCATCCAAGAGCACTACACAGGCGTCGACCCGTCAACACCGCATGTTCTGACCGCCGAGCGACACGTCGTCCCGCGGCCGCAGCTGCCGGACGACCCCGCGTCCTGGGTGACCCACGGGTCAGTGGGTCGCCGTGTGTCGCGTCTGCGGGCGGAACCCAATGGCCAGCACCTGTTGCTTGAAGACTCGCTACAAGAACCCGTGGAATGGTTCAGCAGCAGCAGTAGCAGCAGCAGCAGCAGCAGGTAATCGGGTGAAAAAAGTGAAGGGGATGTATTGCTGGTGGTGGTGGTGGTGTGACGGAAATACCCGTGAAGGGTATGCACATGCTGCCTTTGTGCCGACTGCGTGGGGCTGCGGTTTAGTTTTATTATGGGGTAGGAAACATGAACAAAAACAGAAGCATTGGCAGGTGGTTGGTGGGGGGGGGGCCCCGGGCGTTCGGGCAGGAATTACTGCGGCTCGTTTCTATGTTGTCAAGTGGCCATCCCCCGCAGCTGCCCATGTGCCCATGTGCCCATGTGCAACGCCCGGGCGGGTCAGGGTGCGGCGGAGGGGGGTGAGGATGAAGGGGCATGAGGATGAAGGGGCAGGAGCTGGAAGCTTGTCGCTGCTTGCGAGCGGCGATTCGTAAAGGTGCTGCATCGGCACTGCGTCGGCAGTTCGTGTTGAGTTTTCCTGGAGGGTTGATGGGGGCAACTGGCAGTGGCGAGTTAGCTGAGCTGAGCTGACCAACCCACACCCCCTCCGCTGGCCCATTGGTCCATTGGGTCGTCTGTGTATCGAGGATGCCCGTCTGTCTGTCTGTCTGTCTGTTCATGGCTTGCTGGCTGCCCGACGGGATCCCCACGTGGATCGTCATGGCCATGAAAGGGTCATATCTCTCTTCTCTCTCCTTTTTCTTTTTTCCTTCTTCTTCTTCTTCTTCTTCTTCTTCTCCTGCTGCGGCGGCTGCTGATGCTATTACTTCTTGCTCTTCTTCTTATTGTTCTTCTCCTTCTGTTATTGATGTTAACATATAACAGAATGTTCAATTCAACCAACCAACCAACCAACCAACGGACACTGCGCCCCTCATTCGCACGTTCGCTCAATCCGCTTCCGGCAGCCCCCACGGTCCCGCGGAAGGGCCCCCTGAGGAGGACACCTTCCTGCGGATCCGACTGCCCGACGCGATGTACATGAAAGTGCCCAAGTCCATTGCGGTGGCAGCGGAGGCGGCAGTGAAGGCCGAAACGACAGAAGCGGCAGCGGCAGAGGCACCCAAAGTGTCGCCGGCTGCCCCGGAGCAGCTCCGAAGCAACGGCGTTTGCGGCGATACTTTGAGGTTCGAGTTTGGTGGTTGGCTTCGGAGCAGCAGCAGTAGCTGCAGCAGCAGTGGCGGCGGCGAGGGCGACGGCGGTGGCAAGAGCTGTGTGCTGGCACGGGTGGTCGTACAGTACGACAGGAAGACAGGGAGGTTTGTAGAAATGTGCAACGACATCTTTGCACCCCCCTAGTTAACATGCGTGTGAATGTGAGCGAGTAATCTGTCTGTCTGTCTGCCTCTATGTGCATTTGTGCGCGCATGCACGGCAGATGGTTACATCCCGTTGCAGAAACACCAGTAGGTAGTTAGTTGGTCGATATTGCTGCCACTCACTGGTCCGGATTAGTCCACGCACCAGCAAGATCAAGCACGTTGTGCGTATGTATGTATTATGTATGTATGTATCCATGCATGTATGTTCGAGGATTTAGGGGACCTGCATCTATGCTGAGGATGTGTGCGTATGAGGGGTTACACATGGGGAGCCGGAATTTCGGGCATATTCCCGCCAACGATACTCTCCACGTCCTTATCTATCTAGCGACATTCGAATCCTATCCGCGGTTCCGCGTGCGGTGCATGCGGCATAATTAAATCTTAACTTCAGATCGTATCTATGGAGGTTTTGCGTGGGTTAATGACAGCAGCGGGCATCGCGTGTGTCGTACCACGTCAGTTGCCCGGTTGCACACGGCGAGGCATTCTTGAAGGCATTTCTTGGCAAAATATACGCGGCTAACTGTGTACGTGTACGACGCGGTACGTGTGTACAGTACATCCCGTAAATATATATTTTCTTGCTGCATGCAGAATGACCACACTTCTGCAAAATGACAAAAGAGTATTACCCTCGTCCGTAAGCAGTTTCATAATTTTCGTCCTTGCCAAGTAACGAAGCTTATCGGCATATGTGGGCACGAGATTGAAGCACGACAATTACCTAACGCCTACAACAGTATGCAGGTTCATTAAGTCTTTAATTTCTGAACATGTACGTACTTGTTTCACACGTTTTGGACTTCTGGCATATCCCGAATCTCACACTCTGAATGGTAGCACAAACCCCCATGCACAGCTTCTGTCAACCATACCAGGGTGCCGCCAGTCCAACTACTGCCCTGAACCGGGGGTATCGCCCCCGGGAAGGCATCAAGCCCCTCTGCACCACACAACGAGCTGTTTGCAACCAACCAACCAACAACGAAAACACGACAGGACAAAGACAATCCAAATCCAAACAACGCTCCCAGCCTATCCCAGCTGGCCCCGGGCTCGCCCCTGCACACACTCCCGCCCCTGCACGCCCTGCACATGCGGCACAGAAGGGCACAAAAGCTCATCTCATAATTCGAGACCCCGGCACGCACGCACTCTGTGTACAAAGTGCACATCACCATCAACACACACACAGGCACACAGACACGCACATACATACACACACACACACACACACACACACACACAGACACAGACACAGACACACGCGCACACACACACACACACACAGATACACACACACAGAGGTCCGAGAACGGAGGGAAATGAACAATAGGCAGGCGGTTGGCAGAAGTTAAGGCCTGGCTTCTGCTCCCGTCGCGTCCCGGCGCGTCCGGGTTCAAATCCGCTTGCCGACCTCTCGGGGTGTTAGAGAGGTGATGAAATGGGAGGTGGCCCCCCATCTTGTGGACGGTGTAGGACGTGATAAAATCAACGTCGGATGGGGTGAATGGCTTAGGGTGCCCCTCTAGCAGGGGAGAGCAGGGAATTGCCTCGGGAAGGAGGCCACTGGTGAAGCTTAACCACCCTGTAACAACATCAACAATCATCCCCCATATCCCAAAAACAAAGTGGAAAAGAAAAGCCCATCTACAGCCGCAGCCTTTAACTACTACCACCACCTTAGACTGCCACGTTCCTAGTTTTACTTGAGCTTTGCCTTGACCAGGTCCGAAACCGTCTTGTTGTCGGCCCGGCCGCCCGTACGGGCCATGACCGCCTTCATAACTGCGCCTATCGCCCTAGGTCCCGACACGCCCCCTAGCTCCCCCACCACCGCCTCCACCACCACCTCCACCTCAGCCGCGCTCATCATCGCCGGCAGGTAGCCCTCGAGCAAGCTCAGCTCGGACTTGGACATGGAGGGTTGACCGCGTGGTGGAGGCCCCGGGGGAAGGGGGTAACGGAATTAGCATAAGAAAGGAAAGAGCATAAGAGATATATCCAGACAAAGCACAGGTGTGAGCTTCGCGGTGCCAATGTTCGGGTTTGCGAAAGGGAAGAGCCATCGGGGGACACAAGACCATCACCACCACCACCACCTCCACTACCATGAAAAGCGCTTCGAGGTGGTGACGAACGGACGGCCCAACTAGAAAGGAAAGAACTCAAGAAAGGAACTCAGGAAACAGGAAACAGGCGAAAAGTGAAGAAAAGACGAGAATGTGCATTGCATTCACGGCCCCTCATCGACACGCAACGGTGCCACTAAACCCCTCCCCTAACCCCACCCCACTCCCCACCTGCTCCTTGGCCACCAGGTCCTCCCTCCCGCCTGCTCGATACGACTCAATGGAGTCTTTCCGCTGCTTGACTAGCTTCTGAATCACCTGTGTGTGTGGAGAGTGTGTATGTGTGTGTGGAGAGAGAGGGGAAGAACACGTGACACCGCCAGTTCAGAGCAGGGCAGGACAGGACAGGGCAGAGGAGGGCAGAGCAGGGCAGGACAGGACAGGGCAGAGGAGGGCAGAGCAGGGCAGGACAGGACAGGGCAGAGGAGGGCAGAGCAGGGCAGGACAGGACAGGGCAGAGGAGGGCAGAGCAGGGCAGGACAGGACAGGGCAGAGGAGGGCAGGGCAGGGCAGGACAGGACAGGGCAGAGGAGGGCAGGGCAGGGCAGGACAGGACAGGGCAGAGGAGGGCAGAGCAGGGCAGGACAGGACAGGGCAGAGGAGGGCAGAGCAGGGCAGGACAGGACAGGGCAGAGGAGGGCAGGGCAGGGCAGGGCAGGGCAGGGCAGGGCAGGGCAGGGCAGGGCAGGCCAGGGCAGGGCAGGGCAGGGCAGGGCAGGCCAGGGCAGGGCAGGGCAGGGCAGGGCAGGGCAGGGCAGGCGGTCATGAGATGAGACGGGGCAACACACGACGGAGGTTGAGGGCGGGCCACATGGACTCATGAAAATCTGGGAAGATGGATTTCGAAAAGGAGGCTGGATTTGAATCCGAATCTGTGTCGCGATAGAACGGTGACGGGGACGGTGACAAGGGCGAAGAAAACATTGTACAACCAAAACTGTCATCAAGGGACCAGGGGCTGAAGAATCCACTCCCCCCCCCGCACACATCACAATGGCGAAGTGCCATGCTCCGAAACCCGACTCGGCTCGTGTCCACGTCGGTCTCGGCTTCCAAGAACCCACGGCACCACTAAAAGCATTTCAACACCATTAGGTCAGGATGACGCCCTCAGTCTACCGGGGTGTAGCGCGAAGTTTTTCAACACACATACATACAGACATACTTCATTATACCTACGCAACCCGCAACCTCGCTAGTGTACCTAGTGAGCTTGCACCCTACAATAACTCCGCAGGCAGCCAACTGCCCACCTTGATCACCTCCTGGTCGTTCATGGGCCCCCCGCCCTCCCGGAGCTCAATCTCCCGCTGCTTGATGGCGGCATTCAGGAACCGAATGGCGTCCAGTCGGGCCTGGCGTCGTTGCAATCGGGTTACGGGGGAACTGGGGTGTGTTATGGGATTGCATGATACGGGTTGCTGGTGGGTGGGTGGCGGGCGTATGGGTAAAGCTCGTGGGCATGCATATCGGGGGGTAGGTGGATGAGCTGGGTGGACGGGTTTTCCTTGTGGGGGATGTGGGGGATGTGGGAGGAGATGAGACAGGGAGAAAGTGAGGAGAGGAGGGAGAAACTTTTAATGGTCCTGCAGCTTGTGTCAGTCCATAACTCTTGGCGCGGACACTTTTCTCGTTTCTCTGCAACGTGCCTGTTTCTACAAACCTGGTCCTTGGCCTTCATGGCCTCCTTCATGTCCGATTTGAGCCTGTCGACCAGCGAAGCGGTGGAGCCATCGCCGCCGGCAGCAGCTGTCGCGGCGAAGCCGCGATGCAATGGACGCTTCGCTAGCGTTTGCGGCCCTCGTGTACGTGTGCCTGGTAATGATGATGCACGAGGCTGCAGCAGTAAGTGGTGTCGGATGCACACGCTTGAGAAGGTTGCTGAGGTAGCATACAGGCGAATCGATCCTTGCGCGCAGGTTTTTGCCATGCCGATGCAGCAGCGCCGGGTGGAGGCAAACATTTTTAGTCGCCTTAAATACGTTCAGCGTCTATCTCTATAACTTAACTGCTTGGGCATGTCTGCAAGCGCTCTTCGACTGGGACTGGATACCGTGGATTCCAGTACCTGTACGGCACTAGACAATGACTGTCAGACCTTTGTGGCAAGCGACTCGCAAACGTCAAGTTACAAATACAAATACAACACAAACTCAACATAAGAAAACTGGTTCTGTGCCCCTTCGTTCTGAATTGACCCATCCCACGCATTGCTGTCGTTGCCTGCCGGAACGAGCACGTAAAGCCGTGAAACTTTACAGGCGCTCAGAATGGATTTACTAGGCCAATACAGCGACTCGGATGCGGAAGAGCAGCAACGAATCCCCGCGGCGGAAGCCCCAGGCCCGGCCCCACAGCCTCGCACCCGCAACGCACCCGCTTCCAGTCCCCAGCTATGCAGCTCCACAGTTCCCCCCCTATCGGAGCAAATCCAGTCTCAACCGGAGCCGCCCACTTCGTTGTTCAACCCCTTCGCAACACCAGACGCTTTACGGCAGTCTTCACATGCCAGGTGTGATTACGGACGCCGGGACTCACCACTCCCGGGGCTCACCGTGAGGCGTAGCACCTTCCCTAGACCTCCCTCCCTAATGCCTACAAGACTTGAAGGCTTGTGAATATGGTGAATTTGCACACCCTACTAGTTTTCATTACTCAGGCCCCTCCTGGGCGCTTGGGCCACTTAAGGTCGCTTTGGCATTTGGGTTTCGCCCGGATCCGTTTCCTGTTTTAGCAGCTCCATTTTCCACTGCAACAAATTTCTCAGTCTCTGTCCTGCCGCTGTTTCGTGTTTCCCTTGACGAGTTGGTGGCAGTGTGTTTAAATTTAAAACTTTTTCACCGTGGTAATTTATTAGTGACCAAGTGGTTACTGTGGGGGTTTTCTTTGGTAACCACCTCACAAAAATGTAGTTTCCCCAGCGAGTATGCTGAACAGGAGGCCCATAGAACCATGTATCCGAAGATCCAACTTCACTTGTCAACAAGACGTCTGAGCAAGCTTTCATCAACTTTGACTCTATGTACGGCAACGTGTTCCCGAGCCGAAGCATCACTGCTCCCATCCAAGCGTCAAAAACGTTTCTAGGTGGTCCCTACTACCAGGGGGGTCTGTGGCGCAATTTCCTGGCGATATTACCTGGTTACTGGCAGGTGACTGAAAACCCTTTTTTCCTAGTGACCACCTTCTGGAAGGGAATTTATTTTCTCAGTAACCACTTGGTCACTAGTAAATAACCACTTTTAAAAACATTGGTTGGTGGGCGGGGGAGTTAATCCTGCTCCCGCCTTTCCTCCCCCTCCTCGTGGCCTCGTCCTCATCTTTGCTCGCCTGAGAGAGCGCAACCTACTGCCGCTGCTGCCGCTGTTGCAGCGCATCACCTTCAACTGGGGGAGGCGGCAGCGGTAAGCGCGCATTCACCCAGGTTACCGGCAGCTCTCCGATTCAGGATGCGCCACCCAAGGCGTCTCGCGCCGCGACCACACCACGTGGGCCCAAGCCCGCCTTCAACACGGCGCTAGTGCCGCCACAGCTGCGAAACGGAAGGTGAGGTGGCTGGTAACATGCGTGAACGCAGCTGATTCTGCTGTTTTCTTTTCGTTCGGCTGGATAACATGGCGCTCTCGTATTGACGTGATGTTCTGAAAGGGGAGGGGAGGGGGGAAAGAAGCGGCGTTTGTTCTAAAGGATTTGTTGCATGACGCTGAGCTGGGCTGGATTTTGGGATATGGCGCTGGAGGCAGCTCTTTTGACGCTTTTGCGGCCCTGGCATCGCTACAAAGGACAGAGAAATGCGGGAGTCTGCGTAGCACTCCATTGCGTGGCTAGGCGCTAGTAATTTACGGGGCAAAAGAGAGGATGATGACAAGCCTGTACTTTAAATAGCATTAAAGCGATCCTATGGAGCTGGCGGGGCTTGGTGACTGATATCCCACGTTCGCTTTGCTGTGTCACAGGGCGAACATTTCGACAGAGGACGTGGAGAAGATATTCACGAGAGGCAACTTGGCGAGACGACAACAGCAACAACAGCAGCAAGAGTAATAAAAATCACAAAAATGATTTTGGGCACCCAAGCGCTGTGCGATCTCGCTGAGGCGGCAAGCTTCAGAGTCTTAGATGCTTTTGTGATGAGACAAGTGACGTTATGGTGACATTGTTGAGGGCATTCACGTTAAATGCTTTGCTTATGGCGCCTGTCTATCTGGTTGCTAATTTGCAGCCTGTCGAAAAAAGGAGGCATCTGCGAGTGAAAGCCGGCTTTCTTACATGCATGACGTCTGCGGATCAGGCAGTGGTTTGCTCGATTGGAGGAGTCCAAAACTTAGGTGGCTTAGGAGCTTGAAAGCGGTTTTGGCCATGCAATCCGATGTACGGCCCTTCTAAATATTGCATGCCAACACACGGTCAAAGAATCTTTTGGCTCTGGATTGCGTTCTCTCCCGAGTTATTTACTTCCTCTCGACCTGCATTCTAGACAGGGTTTAATCAGCAAATACGGGCAGCCCGCGAAGTGACCCACGGGTCCTTTCTTAAGGCACTCATTTCCGTAGCACTGGCTCGCGTGGGCGTTGCACGCGAGCAACGCAACGCCCTTAACGATCGCTGTCCCTTTTTCCTACTAGCTGTAAGCCTTACAAGTATGAACTTTTTCTTGCCTGTCTCAACGGAATTGTTCTCCAAAAAGTCCTATCCCAATTTATTCTGTTTTCCTTGGAGAGTCTAGGTATCGCGGTGTTGCTTACCTGATCCTATCACGATTTGCTTCGATGCGATTGTTAACTGTTCGCACAGTCCTCCGGAAGGCAGTTTACTCTCGTTCCTAAGGACCGAGGCGCCCCGAAACATCTACTAACCTTTCGCTGCATTTCCGCAGCATTTTTTTCGCACAACCGTCTTCTCCCCCTAATCACGAATCACCTAATCACCTCGTTGTTTAAACAAAAGCGAAACAACAAACCCTGACACGCACACCAGCGCAGCCAGCCCACAGCGTGTAGCCGACAGCACAGCGCCACGCCCCTAAATGCGCACCTGGCGCGGCTTTGGCGGCCTGCCCACAGCTCCGCCTTCCCCAACCTCGCCCTTTCTCACACCGTCAACGTCGGCGCCACCGCCGTCATCACCTTCCGAGGCGCTGCCCCGCGGCTGGCGCGTAACCGTCGGATCTGCCGCCCACAGCCCTGGGGGTCGCAGCCTAGGTGCAAGTAGCCGTAGTCCCCACAGCGCGGCTGCCGCCGCCACCGGCGGCGGCAGCTATGGCGGCGGCCCCGGCGAAGGCGGCATGCCATCCCCGGGGGGCGGCAGCCCAGGCCGCCGGGGAGTCTCACCGGTTCCTGCCGCTAGGAGCCGGCGGCGGCGGTGGCTGCTGGCGGCGGCGGCGGCGCTGCTGGCGGCGGCGTCACTCGTCCTGGCGTTCGTCAAGCCGTCAGCCGCTCCGGGCCGGCTGGGGTCGGGAATGGCGGTGCTCGGAGGAGCAGGTGAGAGAGATGGGGTTGAGGGGGAAGGGGGCCCCGGAGCGAGGCGGCGGGCGGTGTGCGGTAGTTGTGCTGAGCTGTGCTGGCGACAAAGGGGCTTTAGCTTGTGGGTGCGGGAGACGAGGGCGGACCTGCCGTGCGGGGGAGACGAGGGCGGCGGCGGAAGGGCAGTGCGCGTGCGTTCAAAAACACATACACGATTCAGGTTAGCCTTAGTCAGGTGTGGCGGATCGCGCACTTGGGTTACCCCTTGGGTGGATGGGCCGGCGGTGAAGCCAGGGGTGGTGGCTGTGGAATGACGTGTAGACGGCGACACAGCGAATGTAAAAAGAGTAGTAGCAGTAATAGTAGTAGTGGTAGTGGTAGTGGTAGTGGTAGTGGTAGTGGTAGTGGTAGTGGTAGTGGTAGTGGTAGTGGTAGTGGTAGTGGTACCGTATGCGGTGTACAGGTGTACTTGATGGTATTTGTCAGCTGACGGGCGTTGTTGTTATTTAAAAGCCTGCCTCCACCTGGGTGCGGCGACAACCCCGGTGTGGCGAAATTCTTCCTTCTTAATCCACGTGAAGATTACAACCTCCCTTTGGCGCGCAACAATGCTGGCAGCTTGCGATTCCTCTTCTTCCACGAGTGGGGGGGGGAGACCCTGCACTGGTAGTAACCCTTTCGTTATTAAGAGGAAACTGTTTTCGAAACTGTTTTTAATATTTCTGAGGAAATTAAAAACTAATAATAAAAAATAAATTAATATTAATTATATATAGAAATTGAGGAAATCGAAAATTGACGAGGTAGTTCCCGCAGCAGCGATCCCGTCCAATAATCCGGCCTAAACCCTGGTCGGCGAGTTAAACACAAGGGGCCGAGAGAGCGGTGCCCCTCGGCCACTGCGCGCACCCTAGGTCATGGACCATCTAGTCGACGTCCCGTACTGTAACCCGTGGGTCCCGCTGCTGTAGCTGACGTACGGCACATTCCGCCGCCAGTTGGCGGCACACGAGCCGTTGGAGTAGGAGGCAGCGGCAGCGGCAACGGCGGGGGACCCCACGGCATTTCGAGAAACGCAGCGGTAACGGCAATGCGCACCACCACAGCCGGCAGCGGCATAGCACCCGTTTCAAGCCAAGCCGTTGGCGACGGTGGTGGCGGCAACGACAGCGATGAAGGCGAGGCTAGTCATGCAACCCCAAACGAAAATCGGGTTTCGGAGCTACTCGATGACGTAGCTGATGGCCCGCGAGTGGCCGGTGTGGCGGTGCCGGCGGCGGCGGCGGCAGTGCCGGCGGCGGCGGCTGAACTGGTGGCGGCGGTGGAGCGGCGGCGGCAGCGTGACAGAGTTGGGGTCGGGAAGGACTCCAGGAAATTCCGGGGACAGGGAGAGGACCTGGCTGTGCAGAGGGGAGAACTGAGCGGAAAGAGGAGTGATGGGGATGGGGGTGGGGATGTGGGGGGCGACCAGGCACCTGGCGGGGTCCCCTTTTTTGTGGATGCCCCCGCGGGAGGGGCCGGAGGGGGAGCGTCTAGGGAGGGGCCGGAGGGGGGGAGTAAGTTCCTGGTGGTTACGTTGCAAACACCACCACCATCACCAACAGCAGCAGCAACAGCGGTATCTGCACTCGGAAAAAACTCCAATACATTGCTTGGCGGCGGCGGCGGAGGAGGAGGAGGACGAGGAGGAGGAGGAGGCGAGGAAGGAAGGGGAGGAGGAGCTGTCCCGGCCAGCGGCGGGGCGGAGTCCTCGGCCGCCTCCAAGGTGGGCGGCACGTACGGCAGCCCTGGCAGCAGCACCCGCCGCCGCGACGACGAAGACGGCGACGGCGACGGCGACACGCTGGGTGACGCGACCGAGGACGAGGATACGGAAGTGTACGGCAGCAGCGGCAGCGGCAGTTCGAAATCGGCGTCCGCTAGTGCCCGTGGTGGTGGCGGTGGTGGTTCCGGAGCCCTGCATCAGGCCCGGGCGGCTCTGGCCGACCGCAAGGGTGGCGGCATCCCTCGCATCATTCACCAGGTAGGTGGGGCAGTCACCCCCCCCCACCACATGCGGCTGTGGGGGCAAGAGAAGGTAGCTGGGGGAGACCTGCGAGATAAGGCCCAGGTAGAGACAGTGGAAACCCCGCTGTTTGTTATTATTATATTACCTTGGGGGGGAGGAGGGGGGGAGGGGAAGGCGGAAGAGGGGGGGGGGTCGCCGAGGGGGGCCTTGGGGGTAAAGGTGAGGTCAAAATCCCTGACTGCCTGCCTGACTGACTGACTGATGGGCACGTTGACGACCTATTGTTGTTGCAGATGTACGGCCTCTTCGACACCGCGCCCTCACCCGGTCGTCGTGACCGCCTGATGAGGCTGCCTGAGGAGCAGCCTGATCAGGCACCGCCGGCCGCACCACCACCACGACGGCGCCGAGCCGTACTACAGCAGCAGCAGCAGCAACCGGAAAC